TTTTAAAAAAAAAAAAAAAAAAAAAAAAAACTCTTCAATTGTAACTTATCTTTGGGGTGGTCACATTATTCCTAATATTTATATTTGTTTACGTTTCACTAATTTTATGATTTAAATTATGGATTTTAACTTCAAAATTTCCATAAGATTATCTTTATAAAATCTAACCTTTCCATAAGATTATCTTTAAAACCTTTGTTTACTTCTACCCATAATGATCGTCATTACCTCCTTAATGGTGAAACCTGATAATTTTAATATTAACGTCATGATCTACAAATTAGTCACCTGATATTTCAAATCACTTGATTTTAATAATCTACTAGTTTAACGTCAATTTCGGACGCTAATTTTATAACGGGATACAATTTAAAAATACTAAATTTTTATATACTAATTTTAAATATAATACTGCGCCCCACAATTAATAAATTTACTAGGTATATTACTGCATTACATTGTTTTTTTTTATATTAACGAACACTACTAACCGTTTGATTTTCTTCTTCTTTTTTTAGGCGTCTCTCTGGACGTGGAAGTCTCATTCTCTTCTCTTTTACTTTAGGTCTTCTTTTATTTTCGATTAAATAACTTTGAACATGGTTAAATAATTATTTGATAAGTAACTCATTAGATGAACCAAGAGTATCTTCTCTTTATTAGCTTAGATACAGTTCCCTTTGTTTACATATTCTTTTAGGTATGTAGGTTGGGAGTGTGGGTTGCATATGTGGTGGGTGGTGTGTATGTTTGTGTATTCCCTTATCTAAAATTGACCTAGTGTGACCCGGCCACCTGAGTTTTATCTTTAAGCAAAAAATTTTTTAGCCTGACATAATGACTTTAACATTAAAGTTTAACTTTAACAACCCGGTCACTCATTCAAAAATTTCGTATGTTAAAAATTTTTCGTGTTGCATTTTTTTCACAAATATTGTTTAAGTGCATTAAATAGTTTATTTTGTTATAAAATATAACGATTGAATTGATTGAATTACATGTGAATGGTGAAAATTTGGATGTTACGAGAGTAGCATTCCACGTTGTAGTGATTGTAGTAACAGTTCTAGCGTTTCAAAGAAACGTCTGAGATGGAAACAGGCAGTAAAGATAAAGGAAAGCTTTCATTTTATTCAGATATTGAATGTATGATGTTTTATTTAGTCAATTAAAGTTATATACTATACGTGTGATATTTTTATTTTTAATTTTATTTTTACATAACAGTGCGGATTAAATAGTAGCTGTAAGAATCATAGATTCTGGTACTGTAACGCTAGGTTTAAGCTAATCTACACGTCGAGGACAACATCCACCTGGTGGTAAAGGCAAGGTAATAATAAACAAAAAATGATCGATGAGTAGATGAAGAAATGATTGCTACATAAAATATCTTGGATGTTATTAAAAGTTTAAAAACTATAATAAAAGGAGGGTGAATATCTGGACGTGAAAGATAAAAGGGGGAGAACTACAAACATACATAAAAAAAAAAGAAAACAAATATAAAACAAAAATAAAAACAAAAAAATTTACATTTTAACTTTAATTAAATATAGGTCATTTAAACTTGATTATAGCTTTTAACAACTGTAACAACTAGCTAAAACTAAAATAATAAATGTTAACAAGGATGATTATGTGACGATCAATTTTGATAATATTACGTGATCCACTACGAAAATATATGATATATATTCAAAGAAAATATACATACATCCTATCTATATATTAAATTTTAAGCATTTATTAATATTTCTGAAATTGACAAAACTTAATAAAAATACTTTCTTTTTAATATTATATATTAAGATAAATAATTCCACAAATGCAAACCGTATAATTAATTTATTTTTTATATAATTATAATATCTGATTATTACTTCACAAAGTATTAAATTTTTTAAAGGGAAAAATAAAATATTAGTAAAAATTTATTTAAATAAATAAATAATGCTCAATAATTTTTTGATATAATATGGTAGTTTTTCATTATAAGCTTTATTACATTATGCCTCTTTAAAGTTTATTTGAAATACAAGAAATAGCCAGAGAAGAATTCCAATACTGTAAATAGTGCTTGAGTACCTTCCTTCGGTTCGGGATCCATTTTATGTACAACAATAAAGTGATTTTTATAGTATTTATAATGATATAAATTATAAAAAGTCAATTCTGGCTCTCTAACGGATATTTTCAAGCAAAGTTAGAAAAAATATTGGAAAGATTTTTTTTTTTTTTTTGGAATGAAGTAAAAAAAAAACATATGTGGGGACGATGTAATTAATATACCGAACCCTTAACCCCTTAACCATGTTCATTTGATAAAAAAACTGCTAAATATAAGTTATTTTTTTATCTGATATAATTACAGAGCAATTCGATTATATCACTTATATTACTTTATTGCTGTCAAATTAATTACACGCTAAGTCAATTACATGAAACATCTCGGACACAATCAATAAAAATCTACATTTATCTACTGATGTATGTAATATTAACTTTTTAGCTTACTATTGAAATATCATAAATACAGTATATGGCGATAGAGTAGGATTGTTAGATCGATAGGATACGATCATGTTATCACACACGATAGAAATATACTTCTGTAAAATATTGTTCTACGAATTCAATCCGAATTTCCAAAAAGAGTAAACATGAAGAAATATGGAAATGTGGTTATTCCTTTGATGGGTAATTATGATAGTACATATTGAAGCAAAAAATATGCTTAATACATCCAAAATAGAATACCTTATAAAGTCACGTAACCGTGAAGTGATATATGGATTAACCTACCGCAAGCACAACTATACCCTCGAATTTCAATTATCGTTGCTCTCTTGAAGTTATCAATTTTTTTCACTAGTATTATTTTAATGTGTATTATGCCTATTGTGCATAACTATTCTTGAGATTTGAAACAGAAAGTTCCCATAAAAATATTTACTATTGTTACTCACTACCGCTTTTTTACTTATTATTTTTGTTGTATTGTGATGTTTCAAAGTCAAGCAAACTCAAAGAATGTCGCACCAGAAATAGATGGAGTGATAAAGACGTGCTCATTTTCATTAACCTTTTTACTTTTACATGCATAATAAATTGCTCCAGCATCTGACTCCCTGTAATAGAAAAATGGAGTCTTCAGGATAAATAACATTGCTAGAAAACAAATTATGCAAAGAAATTTTGGACTTATCTTGTTTTAGCGATTGGTAGTGAGACTTTGTACACTTTGTGTAGATGAAGAAATGCTCATGCGGTTAACTTATTAAAAAAAAAATCAGTGTTTGTAAATACAATACAGCTCATTACTCATCTTGGAAATTTAATACGTCTATTTTTCTCTCTACAGTCCACAATGATCAAGTTATCAGTTATCGTTTTTCATGAATTCCGCCAATGTCTGCTATAATATAATTGGAGCCCTCTTTTTTATGACTAGAAAGAATTAACATGGTTTGCTTGTCATGTTTTAATGTTTAGAGGGAACTTGATATGCATGATTTTGTAAGTTGCACCCATTTCTTTGATAAAAAGTCCTATTATTTCAACTACTTTATTTTCACACTATTCATGAAGTAAATTAAATAGATTTTACTTTTTCATTTAAAAATATGAAAACTTTTATTTATTTTTGTTTAAATTTAACTTTATTATGAAAGTAATATCCTAAAAGAATAAAGTTATGCAACGAATAATCACTTAAGTACCACTTCATACTATGCATTTATTATAATTATTACTAATAAGATATACTGCACATAAGCAAGAGATTTATTATTTGTCATTTTGTAAATTAAACAGAAGCCTAACTGACTATTATATTAATATATTTAATAATAATAATAATAATTAATTTTGTTACTTCATGCAAGAAAATGACATGTCATTTATCATAGTGTTTTTTTACATGATTTCATTGATTTTTTTGGTGTTTGGTACTCTCTACTACTATTACCACTCATAAATTATAACCACTTTTCAGAGATAAAATTTTCTTTTTCTGCCTTCTCTTTATAAGCTTGAATTGAGAAATAGTAGAATGTAGCAACTTCTGTATGTAATAATTAACAAAAATACAGGTGGTGAATAAAACTGATTTATATTCTAGAAGTTGAGCAATTCAAAATGATTAAATTCTATCCAAACTTAATTTGTAACATAATTCACACAATTTTAATGGCTTCACCAAGTTCATTATATATAATAAAAATATTAAATTTTGCCAACTCAAATGATAAATGATAAGTAGAATTCAGCTTTCATGTAAATAATGAGAATAGCACAGACAAAAAA